ACTGAACACGATGTCCCTTAGCCAGCCAGCAAAGCGACGGATGGATCATGTGTTCGTGAATTCCTGAATTGCCCTCCCGCGCACGCAAATCCGAAACGAGGCTAGGCGGGCGATCTGGCTTGGAGTCATGACTCTCGACGGACTGTACCCGTACATGCGTGACTCGCGCAGTGCTTTGATCCCGGCCGACACCTGTGTGACCCGCCTTGATCACAAATAATCATCACACGAATTGCAAGGTCGCGGTGCTGCATGGCCGTCGTAGTGCGCGTTTGCTGCTGCTGCTGATGCCTTTGCCCATCATCAGCTGCATGCATCGCCGCTGCCGCAGAGCCCCAGAAGCAGGGCACTTGACCAGTGTCCCCCTCTCGACATCCTTCCACTCGATGGAAGTCTTTTTGTTCTGCTTGCCCGTATGCTGGGACTATGCGTCTACACCACCGTCATCGTTATATTTGGCCGTACATGCGGACTAAGCACAGTCATGCGGCTTGTGCATGGATGGAGGCTCGAGCTCTCTTCCCTTGCCATGCATGCAGCCCTCCATAATATACTTCATCAATCGCCGCGCAGCTCCTGTGGAACCGCGAAGGCTTCCAGACAGGCAAGGCGACCGAGAGTCTGAACAGTGACTTCCTATCGGGAAGGCTAGATTTAGCGTCTCTAGAGCTCGCGGGCCTGCCTGTTCTGAAGAGAGTTAGTTGCCCTGCTGCTGTCTGGCCCGAGGCGGCAGCGGCTCACGTCGACTCACAGCATGCACAAACAGTCGTGAGTGTATTACAGTAGTGTACTTGATGCTGCAATCGCTGCAGCATCAGACAGCCAAGTCTTGCCCTCCTGTCTGCGCTCAAGAATTGACATCCAGCCCTTGCTCTTTCACACACAGATGCGCCCCCCGCCAGCAATTAATGGCGCGCTGCCCTTCTCTTTTGCGACTCGCGACGTCAAGTCACGAGATTCGCCACACCGTCGCAGACCCTGATGTTTCATCTTTCTCAAGTCATCCGTCAGAGCTGAGCCATGGACAGCAGGCCATGTTGTACAAAGAAACGGCTGGGCCTCACGAAACACGAGTCAACAGCCCAGCTACAGCTCGATCCTGATGCGAAGATGGGCTGTTTGCTTGTGCTCATTCGGGGGCAGTATGCGCGTCCATTCAAGAAGCGCGACATTCAAGACTTCCACCTCACAGCGAGTGGCGAGTGGTGAGTGGTCCATCCAGCCTTCAGGTCGGAAATTTGGTCCAGTGAAACGCAGTCAGGTGGTCTTGGCTAGTCACGAGTGTATGGTCGAGGCGCATCCGTGATTGGCATCTGCATGCGTCGATATGTACCTCTGAGACATGCATCCCAAAGTCGAAGTCAGCACGGAGCTTCTTATCCTGCTCTGCACGTGACAGGAGAGCCGTCCATCAGAAATCTTGGATCACTTAGTGACTCTTGACTGTGATTGAATGTTTGAATGATCAGGAACAACCGAATGTCAGAATCATGAATAACGACAGCACTGATCCCGCGCAAGGCGGGAAGGTTCATGTCTTTGTCACAAGTCGTGCGTATTACTTTGCGCTCAGAGCTCACTCCTAAGAGATTGGGTATTCCAAGAGTAGCTTCGCTCCGCCTCGATTGAGATCTGTGCCGCCTGACTGTCGAGCAATCCGG